ACTCGGGAGTCAAATCTCAATGAGTGTAGTGTCGAGTATCAACCGACTTAGGACTACACCAAAGACAGCTATCTCACTACTTCCTAATGGCCAAGTTGTTCAATTAAAGGTTCTAAGATCAGTTGATACTTTATGATAACACGCAGCGACCCCGTATTCTCCTTGACTACTCAAGGGCTACTGGTACTAACCAAAGTGTCACATCAACGTATCTATCATTTTGACCGTGTCGGTATACCCCACACAGTTTCCACGATCTATTGCTACTTACCTAAAAGGTGCCCCAGTTCTGGGTGTAGGATCTATAGGAACCCAAATAAATCCTTCAAAAGTAAAGCAATCAAAGCACACAAAGCAGTTAAATAATGAATTAACTCTAAGGTAACCCCACTTTTTCTGATCCCCAACAGAGTCATCAATTATGTGGTACGGTGGCAGAACCGACTGTTTAATACTGGTTTTCTATTTGTGTTTGCAAATGTTGCAGTAAGCAAGAGTCACCATCGACTTTTCTTTTATCCAAATTAAGGAAAGGGTGAAAAGAACAAAAAAAGACCTTTTTGAGAGTTTCTGAGTAAGGGGGATAGATTATGGAAAGGGAAGGCGTTAACACCCTTTCCATCTGTAGTTATCTACGGGCTCTTAGAGGTTTGCTCATTTTAAAATACCTTTGGGCTTTGTGAGTTTGAAAATGTTTGAAAAATGCCTTAGTGCGACGATTTCCTTTGCGTTTAAATCTTGTATCAGTCCTCAAGAGTGTTAAGAAAGAAAATGTTTTTGAAATTTTTTTTTGAATATTAGTATTTGTGTAAGTGTAAAAAGTGTTTTTGAGCAAACTTCTAACAGCTATCTACTTTTATATTCGAAAAGGGTCGTTCTTTTCCTCCTATCCTTTAGACAGCGCTATCCTACTATTAGTGAGTATGTATCCCTATCATTGAATGTTTGAGGGACATCAAAGGAACGTTTATAGTCACGAAGGCAACTTGTGGAGACGCTTTAGCAATTTTCTTTAGGGACTAGATCATTTACCGAAAAGGCAACTGTAGGGTCATCGAGGGACTATGATATTTTGATTTATGAGTCTTTTCTAAAGAGTTCCTGCCTCATGACAATTTTATTTCTTAAAGGCAACCAAAGTGGGGTACCCTAGATGTGTATATGTGCAATGTGTGCTGTGTTCAATTGTTTATGTCTTGTGTTAAGTTTTCTAGCGTTTTGTTATTAGTCTTGTCATACATGCCTAGTTACTAGCAGTTAATATATATACAGGAAAATGTAAATTGCGAAAAATAAACCCTACGCTATTACATGGCTTTGGGGATGGGGATATTTACAATGCACAAAAACTTGGGAGAAGAAAAAAAATAAGAAAAGCGGTAAAAATCCTAATTTAACCTATTACATACTGTCAGCAGATACAATAATGTAAAAATACGAAAAATAAATAACGCGCGAAAGATTGAAAGTTGTCTTAAAAAAAACTAATAAGAAATTTTTTTTTATTTTATTTAAGAACAATAGCCAATTATCCTAAAGTATATATAGTAAAATTAAATTAAGAAAAATAATTTAATTTCTTTTTTGAGTTTTTTCTTTATTTATTATGAAAAGAAAATAATTAGTCCTAAATTCTAATTCATTTTTAATTAAGAAAAAAGTTAAAGTTTCAATTAATTAATTAACTAAAGGACTTAATTATTTAATTAAGAAAAAATAAATCTAACCTTTTTTTTTAAAGCTTTTTCTTTTATATTTGGTTAATTAAACAACTGAAAACAATAATAAAAACAAACATAAGAAATAATACAAAAAGGAAAAATGCCAAATGGGCTTAGGCATGCAAAAGAGAAAAGGCAAAATTTGTCATTCGATTCAAAGGGGAATGATGCGCTTTCGATTTACCCCTTCTTTGGCCTCTTTCGATTGGGCTAGGAAGCTGGCGTGAGAAACCTTCGATTGGACTCTTGTGGCCTCCTTCGATTGTGCTGGGAAGAAGTATGAGGATCCTTCAGTTGGACTATTTTCTGCCTAGTTCGTTTGGACTGTGAAGGGATGTGGACCTACAAAGCAATCATGAAGGTGCCTCTTCCGTTTGGGGCAGTCATGCAATGGGGGGCGAAGCCTAAGATTTCATTTCACCCTATTCCTTTTCTTTTCGTTTGAGTATGTACAAGGGTTAGCTCTAACATGTATATTTAAACAAGAAAAATATGCAATCTAAAATGACAGAAATAAAAGGTAAATAGGTGTTATTTACATGCCATGCTGAAAACGAAAGGTGCAAGGTCAGAGGGACTTACCTTGCTGGAAAATTGAACTAGTGTGGAGACTAGAGTTGCTGGATCCTCTTGGATTATTTTTTATAACTATGGTGGATTTATGGGCAACATATCTCCAACCTCCTGCGTGTCCTCTTTTGACTTGCAAGCATGCTGTTTATATAGAGTAGGAGGGAGGGGACAAGATGACAAAAGTTTAACTGTCATAAACAAAAATTTTCAAGGTCATGAATGAAGTTTTGTAACCGTGGCCAAAAACATGGGATCTTGTCCTCTTTTGTAATTTGAACAAATATGGATAATTTTGACTTTCGAATACCCCTAGTCTTTATCCTTCGATTGGACCTCCCATGCACCCTTCGAATGAGCTTTTTTGTGTAGCCTTTGACCGGGCTCAAGTTGTGTCTTTCGACTGGGCCTTTAGATGGTCCTTCTGGTGTACCTTTCGAATGGGTCTTTAGTGTGTCCTTCGCATAGACATTTTGAATGGACTCTCTATGCATGTTTTGACCCTCTTCGAATGTATTCAATAATTGCCCTTCGATTAGACCTCTTGCATGCTTCTTCGAATGGCTCTGATTCAGCTTCTATGAATGGCCATCAATATGCATCATTCGAATGGAATTTTGGAATGCCATAATGTAGAAATTGGGCTGTCAAAACTTAGCATGAGGGTAGTTTCTGCCTTGTGTAGGCAGGCATGTAGCAGGTGTTTGCCTTATAGGTATGAAGAAAATTCCTGCCTTGTGCAGGCAGGCATGCAGGTCATTTGTCCAAATGGGGCCTGTGTGGAAGAAACCAAAGGCGCTTAAAACGAAGGAGGCCCAGAGATGCTCCAAATGAAAGAAGCCAAAGGTGCTTCAAATGAAATAAGCCCAAAGGAGCTCCCCTTATTTTTGAATCGAAGGGAGCCATTTCAAAGAAAAACAAAGCTCAATCGAAGACTTGCGGATCAAAGCTTGACCGAAGGGTGTTAAATGCCCAATCGAAGACTAGTGAGTCAAGTTTGTATCTTAGGATTTTAAAAGCTCAGTCGAAACTTGTTGTTAGGCTAATCGAAAGGAACTGTTTAACTGCCAATCAAAGGACATTGTTGAGCTGCCAATCGAAAGACACTTTACTTAGATTCAAAAATTTCCTCTTTCTTTAAACAAGTGTTTGTAACCACCATATAAGAAAAAAATCTTGGAAAAATATGAGAGAGCAAATTTTGAGGTACAACAACACCCATATTTAGTCATCGTAAGCTGAACAAACATTGCAATGACACACTAACATATATTTCCCTCTATATAGCCACAATCGATGCTTCACAATATGCCACTCTCACACGACCAAATATTGCATTTGTGTTTACAAAGCTTGGCCATTCATGGTAAATTTTATTGAAACCCGTTGGAGTGTTTTCAAACGCATACTAGAATATCTAAGTGGGATAGTTACTCATGTCTTAACACTTGCACCCACCAATTCCTTGCAGAAGTTTTCTCTAAGAGTTTATAGTGATTCAGATTGGGCAAATGGTCTTGATGATCGAAGACGAACTTCAGGATCTTGTGTTTATTTTGGACTTACCTTGATATCGTGGAGCTCAAAGAAGTAATCACTTATTTCAAGATCAAACACGAGAGTAGAGTAACGGGATTTAGCTCGCATAACTTCTAAATTATTTGTTGGAAACCACTCTTATATGAAATTCATATTGGTTAATTAGTGCCTACGTTACTATGTGATAGCCTTAGTGCAGTTATATTTTATATTTTTTCTGATTCTGCATGCTAGTACAAAACACATCGAACTTGATATATATTTTATCCATGAAAGAGCTGTAGCAAGCAAGTCGTAGATTCAACATGTCTATGGTCATGCACAGATAACTGATATGCTAACAAAATTACTACTAACCAACCTATTCATTGCTCTCAGAGACAAACTCAAGGTTGTTTCATTTCAACCACCGCGAATTTGTGTGAGTGTATTGAAGCATAGATCAACTAAAGATAAGTTTGCTATATTTAAAAAATTGGTTAGATGGTCAGAGAGTTAGTTAATGTAGTTAGAATGTGTAACTAACTTGAAATTACTGTGTGTAACTAACTTAATGATCATAACTTGTATAAATGGAATGTTAGAATCATTTCAATTAAATATAATCAATACATTATCAAAGCAAGAATAACTTGTTCAAACTCTCTCTCTTACTCTACTATGTATTGTTGTTCATTCAATATGTCATATTTATAATTTTTTTTTGGTTATAAGTGTTGGTAGTGTTTAATAATTTTTCTATCTAATTTACACACTAAAAGATAATGTAAGGACCTCTGAATATTTTGTGGGTGGTTATTTTATTTCTACTATGAATTGTATAGCAATCTATAGATCTAGTTGAGCTATATTTAGCTCTTCTATGCTGGATGTTCCACTCTCTACTGATCTTATAAAGGTAAACCAAACCCTAAAATAAAACCTTTTCTAGCACAACATTTGTATATTTTGTTACACTTCCAATAATAGACAAAAGAAACACCTAATGAGTTATATTAACCACAAATATCAACGGTTTAGCGATTTTCATGAACCAAAATAGAAAAACACAAGGCATAAATATCCCTTCAAAATTTCCAAAAGACCTGAGTTAATCCATTCCAATCCAAACGTTTCCACAATTAGTCAATTTTGCTAGCCATCGTTATTATCGTCAAGACATTTTTCACGATGGCTAGCACAAATGCGATCAAATTCAATTCCATGGCACTCATAATATGCATAGCTTTGTGTGCACCAATTCTATCTATGGCTGTATTAACCTGTTGTGACTTGAAACCTGCTCTTACTGCATGCGAATCCTATGCAAGACATGGTGGAGAATGTGTCTCACAAGATTGCTGTTTCGAAGCTTTAAACCTTAAAAACAACCTCATCAATTCTCATCAAGATTACGTTACTGCTTGCCATTGCATTCAAGATGCTGCTGTCAAGATGATCCCTAACCTCAATTATACGGCTTTTTCAATCATCCCTGAGGGTTGTGGAATTCGCTTGCCCTTCAATTTTCGGGTCGATATGAATTGCGACAAGTATCATTTCTAATCCAATTCTTACATGATTAACTATAGAATTCATTAGAAGCTATTGTGATAGTGTCAAATAAATCTTATAATCTTATTAATTGCTTCTTTTGTTAATCTCTAACTCACCTGTTCATTTTTACTTGTTTTGCAGCTTGTAATTAGCAACTTGATCGCTCCATTTGAATGATGCTCTGGTGCTCACAAACAAACTTATTATTCTTTAATTATATTAAATAAGGGTTATGCTTTGACTCATTGTGAGAATATATAGAATATATAATTTGGTTTGGACCAGTTTCTTCCAAAAGGGTTGTCAACTAATCGTTTCATAACCTGTATATTGCATTCAAAGTATACTCCATTGCGAAAATTTATACTAGTAAATGATCCTCGTATTTTTACGGGTAATTTAATAGTAAGGTCAATCCAATCAATTCGAAGATCTGTTATAATTTTAAAAATAAACCTAAATTTTAAAAAATATATATATTTATAATAATTAAAAAAGCATATTGAAAATATAATTATATATTAATTAAAAATAAATTTAATTATAAATATTTCGCCTTTTGATCAATTTCATTTTTTTAATATATTGAGTTTTTATCATAGTATTTTCTGTATTAATTAAATTTTTATTATAATATTTTTTATTTCTATTAATATAAAAAAAAAATTAGATCTTTTAAAATTTGGAATTCTCAAATTTAGGATTATGTATTTTAGAATTTGTTGTTCTTGCACATGAACGACAATGCCTATCATTTAAAGAACATCATACAAATACTTAAAAAAGTATATCAATTTGAATATTAAATCAAACAACAAATAATAAAAAAATAAAAGTAAAAAAAAAGTTTGTGTGAATGATGAGTAACTAGAAAGAGGTGAATATTAGGAAATTAAATTACTAACTTTTGATATAAGATGAATTTGATAGAATTAGAAAAACTATAGTCCTAAGACAAAATGTTAATTTACTTGTCTTATAATACAAACCGTGATCCTTCTTTGACAATCAATCTACCACAAAATAGTAACAATTTATATTATATTATAATTTATAATTAGCTTAAGTTTGTTTCAAATTTTCTAAAAAGCATAAAAAAGTATGGCTTGTATTTATATGGTAAAAGTGGGCCCTTTAAGTTTGGGGGCCCCGCTGCAATAGAGCTTGTTACACCTGCTTTGGGCCGCCCCTGTTTAATAGGATGAAGATTATTAATTTGAAAATATATATGAATAGATAACCATAGATTGAACGATACTCGAAATGCATCAAAATTTAAAAATATGAAAATAATTAAGATAACAGAGAAGAGAATACTTAGTACATAAAGCAAAGAGAATTCGGAGATTTGTACAACAACTTACTCAAAAATACATGTAATAAAATAATGTTCAATTTCGTTGTTGAACAAGGAACATAGACTCTAGAGAAGGGAATACATGATGTAATTCATATATATATATATATATATATATATATATATATATATATATATATATATATATATATATATATATATATATATATATATATATATATATATATATATATATATATATATATATATATATATATATGCGCGCGCGTACACATGAATACATGTAATATTTCATATTTGTGATCAAATATTTATCAAGTATACAATTTAATTTTTTTTGAAACAAACTCAAAATATAATTTCAACAATAAACCTAATAACAACAAAAAATAGAATGTGATAAGTGGATTATTTTACCCTATCATATTAAAATAATATTAAGTAAATAATATTCAAATAATTAGCGACACAAATTGTTATTGGTGATAAAACAGTCCTAGGCTTGTCACCATACTTGTTTTTCCTACATTTTTCATGGGACAAACCTATATTTTAGATTCGCACCCCCCATTATGTTTGTCCCGTCTATTTTTCGCGGACGCGGGAATTAGTGATACATACATGAATTTTTGCAAGTTTTAAGCTTTAGGGAGTAGTGCTCGTCGAACCCACCTCACCCACACTCATTTTTTTTGCGGGGCAAGCAAAAATTTTAGACCCGCATTATCCACTATGTTAGCTTTGCTCCGTACCATTTTTTCGTAGATTTTCATTGGGTGGAGCTAAGTGCAGCGGGCATACCCGTTAGCCATTTGTAAAATTTTTTGTAAAACTATTTTATTAATCAATTTTTAGGGGACACATATTTCTCTCATATTTAAATTAGTTGTGCATTTTTTTTCTTCGTATTTACATAATGAAACATATTTAAAAATTTATTATTTAATTGTAGAAGTTTCAATTATTCACATACATTTTATTTTTAACACCCTTACCCATTTTTCTCATAGATTGTTGAAGTGTTTTATTACAAAAGAAACACTCTTTAGCCACATGATTTGCATGCCTCAAACAACAATTTCACATCACAAACCATCAATTAGTGACATGAGGAAACACACGGCAAGAGCGCATGTGGCAACTCAGTTGCCATATGAAATTTATGCTACAAATTTGTCATGTAATATTCAAGTCGCAACACTTTATCACGTGAAAATTACGCCACATTTCAATATAGACTACAAGTTTACTCAACTATGTGCCAGATCAGTGTTGACAGATTTGTGATATGGTAAACACGCAACAAAAACGAATACGTATCAGATTTACTACGTGGTAAAAACGCCACAAAAATAAAAACGTGTTAAAAGTTTACCACCTGATTTTCATTTCACAGATTATTTTTTTAATAAATAACAAAATAAATAATAATTAACAAAATACGAAAATTAAAAATAATAAAAATATTTTCACATAATAATTATAAATATGAAATTTTTTTAAAATTTCAATTAAAAATAATTAATAATTTACAAAAATTAATATTTAAAAGTAAACTTAAACTATAAACAAACATAAATTTATATTAACTACAAACTATGTTTCATACAAATTAATTGTGTTATACTATATTTAATTCAAATCACATTTCATACTAATTATTCACATTTCATACAAACTATATAAATTATACACATTTTATAAAAACTAATAAATAATATATATTAATTCTCTTTTAAACCAAACTTATTCTATTAAAAAAATTATGAATGTACAATACAGAAACTTCGAGTATCATATGCTAGGATGTTCATACAAGTTGATGTAACACAACAAGTCTCAAAAGAGATAACAATACAAAATTATGAGGCGAGCTGGTCAAACAAGCTATAGAGTATGAGTGGATGCCTAAATTTTGTGGGAAATGCCTGAAGTTTGGGCACAACTGTGCTAATAAGAGAATCATGCCACAGTAGAAACCGAGGAAGATTCCTCCTAAAATTAAAGAGAACCACAATGAAAACCTTGAAGGAAGCGTAGGGGCTTACAATACCAAAGAGGAGGAAATCTCGCAGGAAATTGTTGTGATCAACAATGAAGGGGGAATAGAGTAGTCTACACCAAAAGGAGGAACAAAAGGAAAAAGGTTTTGATAGAGGCAGAGGAAAGCAACCCAAGATTAAGCGTCCAATAACCTGGCATAAACTGTAGCAATGGTTTCAATGCATTATGGGACTTGATAGGTCCTCCTTTACACATAGCCATTGATCCATGTTAGTTTCATGGAATGTTAGAGGGCTAAATAAGATTGGTAAATTGAGAGAGATTAGCTCCTGTCTCTTAGATTTACAACCTGAAATTTGTATTCTCCTTGAAACCCGTGTTAAGCAAGCTAGTGCTACTTTGGAATGGCAGAATTTGGGTCAGTTGGAACTCTTTGACTACTGACATTAGGATGGATAGTTGTACCAATCAATTTATTCACTGCAGGGTAAATGACATTGATGGCAAGCTCGGATTTAGGATGACAATGGTTTATGCTATGAATACCCTTGATTAGAGGATACAATGTTGGAATGATATTGAACAGTTGACAAGGCACTGTACTGAACCTTGGTGTGTTATTGGGGATTACAATAATGTGCTCAGGAGTAAAGACAAAATTGGTGGTAGAATGGTGACTGAGCATGAGTTCAAAGATTTGCAGGCCGTGATGGATGTTTGTAATTTGGAAGAAATGGATAACTTAGGGGACTACTTTACTTGGCACAACAAAAATGAGAGGGATCCTATCTATTCCAGAATTGATAGAGTGTTAGGTAATACTTTCTGGTTCTAAAGTTTGGATATGTATCTTGTAGCGGTAGAAATATTGAGACAAATTCATTGGATTGACTTAACTCGCACAAATCAAAATAAAAATCGCCAATGCACTTTATTGTTTCCAAAGAAAATGGGAAAAGAGAGAATAAACCCAAAAAGAGAGGGGAGAGTGAATAAACCCCTCTTTTTTAAGTACTCCCCAACATAGTCGCTAGTTATGTAATATGGTGGGAGAACTGATTTGGTTTGTGTTTTAACGCAAATGTTGCGGATAACAAGAGTCGCCACCGACTATTCTTTTATCTAAGAAGGAAAGGGTGAAAAGAACATGAAATACCTTGAAGATTTTGAGTTCGGGGGTAGGTTATGAAAAGGAAAGGTGTTAGCGCCATTTTCATCCGTAGTTATCTACGGGGTCCTAATCACTTAGCTCAGTTTTTGAAAATTTCTTTGTGTTGTGTGTTTGAAAAATATTTTAAAAGGTTTCCAATGTAAAGCGAAACTTTGTAATGATTCTCGTATCTGTTCTTGAGAATGCGTACAAAGTGTTTGTTTGAAAATATTTTGAAAGTGTTTGTGTGAAATATTTTTGTTTTGAAGAGCTTTGTGAGCAAGCGATTAGGAGTTCTACCCTACTCAAGGTCGCTCTTGTATTTTTCCTCCTCCTTTAGACAGTGTTATTTGTAGCATTAATTAGTAGGAAGCCCTATCGTTGGATGTGAAGGAATAGGCGAGGGTCATCGAAGGAAACTCGTAAGGATACTTTAGCAATTTTCCTAAGGGACTGTCATCGTTTTATTCATAGGCAACTCGAAGGGACTAGATCATTTTCCGAAAGTCAACATCGAAAGGATCTTTGCTAAAGCGTCCCCACGTTCGAGGGACATGACCGTTAATTTCTGAAGGCAACAAGAGAGTTTACCCAAGAGGTGAAAGTGTGCGGGTAATTTGTATTCAGTTATTTTATCTTTGCGGTTAGGGTTTTCTAACGATTCGTTTTAGTCTTT